GGCGGGGGGGGGCCGGGGGGCCCGGTGGGCCCGACCCGCCATGGATCGAGGGGAAGGGGGGCGTGGTCGTGGCCGGGGGCGTGGTCGTGTACGTCAGCGTTACAGACGCACAGACGCTGGGCTACTAAATATATGATTAGCACTGATGTCACACTCTGGTCTCTGGATCCTTCCTTTCTTTTCTCTTTCTTTTCTCTTCAGCATCCGAGGCAGTGAGCTGTAGCTCACGAAAGCTGATGCTCTGATCGAGGGGAAGGGGGGCGTGGTCGTGGCCGGGGGCGTGGTCGTGTACGTCAGCGTTACAGACGCACAGACGCTGGGCTACTAAATATATGATTAGCACTGATGTCACACTCTGGTCTCTGGATCCTTCCTTTCTTTTCTCTTTCTTTTCTCTTCAGCATCCGAGGCAGTGAGCTGTAGCTCACGAAAGCTGATGCTCTAAAACCGTAATGCATTTGTTAGTCTTTCAGGTGTCACGGGACTCCTTGTTGTTTTAGGGTGTTGTGCCTCTTCCCACTAGGATGTGCTGTTGCTTTGGAGAATTCATAGCAAGCGGATGAAGAGACAAGCAAAGATGGGGAGGAGAGAAACAATTTCCTTCCTCGGATGGCAGTTCAGATGGCTCATCATGATGACAGAGAAAATATTGCATTTAATAATCTAGCAAAATCCCTTGCAATTTTCTCATTATTGCTAAAAAATAAAAACTAACTAGCCTACGGGCCAGATTCTCAGCTGGTGTAATCGACATAGCTCCATGGAACTCTGTAGAGTGATTTACACCAGGCAAGGAGCTAGGCCTTTAAATAAAGTGCAATTAACTCATTGGGTAAACTGAACTAATGACGCTCTGTCCCAAGGGGCCTCAGCAAACTGCTGTAAAATGAACCGATCCAGTGTACGGTATTAGTTCTTCCTTCCCTAGTCCTGAGCAGGTTGATAGGATGTCACGCTAATCCACCCACGACAGTCTAGGTCCCCTGAGAATCCACTACATTTAGATCATGGCTGTCATGCTCATGTAGCAGAAATAAGATTGGCACGTGGCCATTGCAGCATGGGTAGGGGAATTGCTCCTCTCACCTCTGAAATGCAGCTGCCTCTTGGGTGGAATGCATCCCTGATAATCAAACCACTAGAACCTGAACCACTAGAACCATTACACCAGGCCGGTTAGGCACTCTGTGGGCAGCCTTAGAGGCTATGTCTACACTGCAGGCTTCTTTCAGAAGAAGCTTTTCCAGAAGAGATCTTCCAAAAGAGACAGTAAAAGCGCGTTGAAAAAGCGATCTGCTTTTTTGAAAGAGCGTCCACAAATGGCACTATTTCGCATGTAAGCTGTGATTCCTGTGGATGGAGCGGCCACCAGGGCACCTGTGCTTTTGCCTCTTTCCTCTTCTTTGAAAGGAACTCCCTCTTCCCCCTCCACACATGCCTTTTTCTGAAAGAGCTCTTTCGCAAAAAGACTTCTTCCTTGTAGAAAGAGGTTTACCAATGTCGGAAAAAAAACCTCTGCTCTTTCGATTTTTTCCCCGAAAGAACGAGATTGCAGAGTGGACGTGAGATTTTTTCGGAAAAACTGCCATTTTTCTGAAAAATCTCTGCAGTGTAGACATACCCAGAGGCTGTGTCTACACTGGCACCCTTTTCCAGAAAAGGGATGCTAATGAGACCAGTCGGAATTGCAAATTCCGCGGGGATTTAAATATCCCCCACAGCATTTGCATGAACATGGCTGCTGCTTTTTTCCGGCTTGGGGTTTTGCTGGAGAAAAGCGCCAGTCTAGACGGGATCTTGCGGAAAATCATCCCTTTTCCCGAAGATCCCTTATTCCTTGAAAGTAGGAATAAGGGATCTTGCGGAAAAGGGCTTATTTTCCGCAAGATCCTGTCTAGACTGGTGCTTTTCTCCGGCAAAACCCCGAGCCGGAAAAAAGCGGCAGCCATGTTCATTCAAATTCTGCAGGGGATATTTAAATCCCCCGCGGCATTTGCAATTCCGACTGGTCTCATTAGCATCCCTTTTCCGGAAAAGGGTGCCAGTGTAGACACAGCCAGAGTGTGTCGTGGGCCATCACCCCAAAGCAGCATGCTAAGGCGTGGTTCCCAGACAGGCCAGGCAAGTGGGGGGCAGTCTCTAGCCCTGACTTCAGCTGTTCTGTGTTGCAGGTGGATTTTGCCCTCTTTGTTATCAGTCAAACCGGGCTCATCATCTCTCTGATCTGTCTCGTCCTGGCTATTGTCACCTTCCTCTTCTGCCGGCCCATCCGCAACTCCCACAGCACCTTCCTGCACCTACAGCTCAGCCTATGCCTCTTCCTGGCCGATCTCCTCTTCATAGCGGGGATAGACAAAACTTACAACCAGGTACCAGAGGGGATGAATTCCCAAGTCTTTTCACAGCTCCCATCAGCGATTCTTCACTATGTGTCTCCTGGTTCTGCTGCCATGTACACGCTGCTATTCCAGTGGAGTTACTCCTGATTTACACCAGCATGAGTGACCAGGGAGGCAGATCAATGGATTGCAGGAGAGACTGCTGCACCCGGGATCATTTTAGACCTCACAAACCCTGCATCTGAGCGGTGGGTTAGACTAGCTGACCCTTTCTATGCTTCGGTGGCTCATTGCAACTGCAACCTTTGCTGGAGTCTGTAACTAGAGCTGGGCTAATCCCCAGTAACCTAACCACACCCAGCTCGGTACCCCAGGACAGAGGCTTCCTTTCAGCCCTACAACTGGGGTTGGTGACTTGGGGCAGATATTTGGAGCAGACTGGAACTGGTTCCATCCCAGTGCAAATCTCAGCAGGTATGAAACAATGCCAAAGGCTGCTCTGGCCCTGCTAGGACAAGATCCCCAGGCTAGCCCTAGCGGGTGGCTTCTCATACCAGGCGTTCAACAGACTTAGGGTCAGTTTCAGGTCCCCACTCGAAGTGTTTGCCTGGCCGCAGTCCGGGCCCACCCGCCCACTCAGGACAAGAGCGCCTCTCTCCCAGTAACCCTGGACTGTTCCCATTTCCCCTCCAGCTTGCGTGTTCCATCACGGCTGGCTTGCTGCATTACCTCTTCCTGGCTTCCTTTCCCTGGATGCTGCTGGAGGCGGTGAGCCTGTACCTCATCGTCAGGAACCTGAAGGTGGAACGTTACGCCAGCCTGGGCACAGGCATGAGGAAATACATGTACGCCTTCGGCTACGGCCTCCCGGCCGCGATTGTGACTGTGTCTGCAGCCAGCGCGCCCAACAGCTACGGAACGCCTTACCAGTAAGGAGCATGGAAAGCCTGTGCCTAGGCCCTGTGCCTTGTGTGTCCTCCAGGCAAGGCAGGCATTCCACTGACACCCCACCTTAGACCAGCAGTGGCATGCAGGCTGGTCCTTCAGGGCCAAAGCACAGACCTCTCCTGCTGGAGCCAAGTGGGCGCAATGTGAGGCTCTTATCCTCTATGTGGACCAGGCGCTGGTGGGAGCTGGGGACACGCACATTTAGCTAACATCTGTCGCTCTGTCCTTCTGGCCCCTGACATTACCACAGCTGCCCCTTCCTCATGCCAGCTCCTAGGCCTCTGCCCTGCCAAGCCCTGCCTCCGTCTTCCCCCTCAGCCCCCCACGGTGAACCAGGCTTGGAGTTCTCTCCGTGCGCAGACTCCCCCAGTCTCTATAACAATGCACGCTTGGTTTCCATTGGCGACCACCCACCTCAGCTGGGTGCTGCTTGAGACCTAGCTCCAGAAACCGGTGTCCTCTTCGCTCTGTCGTAAGCCCCAGTGACCAGCTGGAACTGGCTTGTCCCCTTTCAGTCTGAGCCTTTCAACTGTCCCCAGTTCGACCCCCGGAGGCTCCTGTTATCCTGGAGTCTGACTGGATTCCTGCCACCAGTGGCTCTGCTAGTAGAACCTGGGGGTGGGCACACAGGGCCATGCTGGTGCCCCCTACCCACATGGGGGTGGTGCTGGGGTGGCCAGTGTAGGCAGCCCTGCCAGGGTTCTGCTGACAGCCTTTCTCCCTTTTCTTTGTAGTTGCTGGCTCAACCCTGAGAATGGTTTTAGGTGGCATTTCCTTGGACCTGTCTGCGCCGTGGTTGTGGTGGGTACCGCAGGGTCTCGGGTGTCCCAGAGTGGCAGCACCCAAGGGTTGTCATAGACTCCCTCAGGGTCTGTCTACACTATCTAGTTTTTCAGAAAAACGGCTTTTTTTCTGAAAAAACCTCACTTACATCCACACTGCAATTGTGTTCTTTCGGAAAAAAATCGAAAGAACAGAGGGGGCTTTCTGACGTTGGTGGCTGCTCTTTCTACGAGGAAGAAGCCTTTTTCCTGAAAGAGCTGTCTCAGAAAAAGGCGTGTGCGGATGGGGAGTTCCTTTGAAAGAAGAGGAAGGAGGCAAAAGCACAGGTGCCCTGGAAGCAACTCGGTCCAAAGGAATCACACCTTAAATGCCAGATAGCGTCCGTTCCATGCGCATTGGCAGTGTGGAGGCTCTCTCGGAAGAAGTTTTTTCCGAAGATCTCTTCTGGAAAAGCTTCTTCCGAAAGAAGCCTTCAGTCTAGACATAGCCTCAGAGACGGGAACACTCCAGAGACGGGCCCCAGCCATGATTTACCAGGAGGAGGCAGGACTATGGCGCCCTGGATCCTGAGTCCAAAAGCAAAAACCTGAGCCAGGCAACCTGGCAAAAATGAACACATGGGTGGCTGCTCTGTTTGGGGAGCAGCTGGCATACTCCCAGAGCCCTGGCCCCATGATCCTGCCTCATCCTCCTCACACCAGTCACTCTCTGTTGTCTTCAGGGGGGTTGCCCCGATTTACACAGGAATGCGGGGAGGGAAAGCAAGCCCAATGGAGTTACTCCTGATTTGCGCCAGGCTGAGTGAGAGGGGAATCAGGTGCCTCTGTGTGTTTTGACTGATGTTCAGTCGTCTCATTGTCCAGAAGATTTCCATGCAGGCCCCCAGCCCGGACATCATGCATTCGCTCAAGGCCTGGGGACTGGAGTAGCAAGTTGGTCACAAGGCGTTTCTGCGGGACACTAGTCTTTCTCGAACCTCAGGCCCAAACTAACTCCAACCCAAAGGGCCAATCTACTCTTCCACCCCAGGCCAGACCCTGAGCTGGGGACTTGGTCAGCGCCTGTCACCCCGGCTGCGGCTCTGGAGCGCGAGCGTGAGCTGAAATGTGCTGGGGCCTCCTTTGGTATTTCTCTTTGCAGATCAATTTAGGGTTCTTCTGCCTCACTATGAAGCTTTTGCAAGAGCATCTTTCCTCCCTCAACGCCGAGCTGTCGACTCTGAGGAGCACCAGGCAAGCTGCCTCAGGGAAAGGGGGACTGATTGTCTCTTTCTAAGCTCTTACAGGGTCACTGTCATAAGAGGGGGCTGAACACCTCAGGGAAGTACTAGCAATTGTAGCCTGGCAACAGCCCCCTGGGGTGTGGGGGAATTGGTAACCCCATTTCCCAGGCAGGGGGACTGAGACATAGAACAGTCACCTGATTGGCCCACAGAAAAACCTGTGGCTGCAACAGGACTTGAACTCAGATCCCCTGAGTGCTAAGCCTGTACCTTACTTACAAACCCTGCCTTCTCCCTGGTGCCTGTGCCGTTTTAACCACCCCCATGCCTCCTGACAGTGGCTAGTCTGTGTTCCCCATTGCCTTCTGCAATGAGACTTAGCTCTTCTGGAGCATTTTTCATTTGTGGCTCTCACAGCGCTTCACAAAGGAGGTCAGAGTTAGTATCATTAGTTTTGCATAAGGGGAAACTGAGGCACAGAGAAGGAACATGATTTGCCTACAGAAATGCAGCAGGCCAGTGGCAGGAATAGAACCCAGTCTCACACGGGAACTCTGTGCACAAGACTGTGCTACCTCCCGTACATGCTCCGCTCCCGTTGCTGGTGGCAGCCTCTTCCCAGCCCTTCCCTGAGCAGGAGGGAAACATTTTCAAGGGCTTTGGAATGGAAACTAGGAATGAGCTTCTGCCGTCATGGCCCAGCCCGGCTGGTGCTGGTATCCGAGTGGCTCTCACGTTGTTGCTTTTCTGCTGTCTCAGGTCCCTAACTTTTAAAGCCCTGGCTCATCTCTTAGTCCTGGGCCTCACGTGGGGGCTGGGCACCTTCCAGTTCGGCCCACTGGCCACGGTGATGGGGTACCTGTTCACCATCACCAACAGCCTGCAGGGAGCCTTCATCTTCATGGTGCACTGCCTGCTCAATCAAAAGGTGATGCCTCCAGGCAGCGGGGCGGGCTGGGCTGAGCTCGTACTGGGGATGGCAAAGAGACAGCGACGGGAGAGAGCTGGAAGGAGTAGCAAAAGGGAGGGGAAGGGAGAGCGGTAGGGTGCTGAAACGCAGCCTCCTCTGGGGCAAAGCATGGCAACTGTTTATCGGCATACAGCAACACAGCCCAACTCCTTAGTGCTGGAACTGCTGGGCTGGCTGCTCTGTGGGGGTAATTACCTGGGCTGGGCTTTGGCCAGGCTGCTGGGATGAATGGTCTGCATTTGTGGGATTTAGTGTGGTCAGGGACTTGGGGTTGCACCCGTTAGTGATGGGGGATTTTCCACCCACAGGTGAGAGCGGAGTATTGGAAATGGTTCAAGAGGCTTCGGCGCTCAAAGGAAGAATCTTCCTCTTCCAAGATTACTATGTCTGCTCTCCCCCCCAGCACGGCCACGGTAAGAGAGGCTGCAAGACATGAGCAGGAATAAGCTAACATCGACCCTCTCACCTCCGTCCCTTTCCCCTTGTTTTCATCAGCTCCACGGCCAGGGTACGTCTAGACTACATGGCACCGTCGACGGAGCCGTGTAAAATAGTTCACTCGGCGTAGGCAAAGAAGAGGGGATGTAAATAATGCCTCGTGAAACGAGGTTTACCAGAGCGGTCAACAAAGGCTTCCCTTGTCGACCGTGCTGCGTCTAGACTGCCACGCTGTGCTGGATCAGCTGATCATCGGCACAGTGCAGAGGCCATTTTTATTTTAATGAAGTGGGGATTATTTAAATCCCCACTTCTTTGACTATGCCAAATAAACTATTTTATACGGCTCCGTCGACGGAGCCGTGTAGTCTAGACATAGCCATAGGGTATTACAAGCACTGCCAAAACTTACATGATCCATACAAGTTCCTCTCCTTGTCGAGGGCAGAGTTTCAGCCTAGCGAAATGTGGCCCTGTGGTTTACAGGTTTTGAGGTTGGTTTAGACCATCGGTAGAAAAAGGAGGAACAAAATTTTGCAAGCATTGTAAAGAAAAATTGTCATCAACATTCTGAATTTTCAAAGCATCTCGGCCACTCAGGAAGTTGGTATAGAAGTGATATAAAAACAGCCACCAATGTTGGCAAAATGTTCTGACGTATTTTTAGTGCCATATTTATGCCACATACTTGCAAAATTGCCAGAAAAAATTGACAACTTTTTATGATTTTAAAAACACTTGATCATCTCCAGTCAGCAAATTATTTCCGTGTTGGCTTTATTAGGGGTCTGAATGTCACTAGTGGCTTTTTAATGGCAGAGGATCCCTGCAGAACGTTATCATTTTATAACCAGATTCAACGGCACCAATATCCATATTGTGCTGCTGGTGTGTAAGGCTGGCCTGGCACGCAAGACATGCAGTGCCTGATTCAGGCTTTCTTTTCTTTCAGTCTCAGGATCCTCAGCAAAAGGCTGTGTCTCAGCCCACCCGCAGACGGTGACATGGGATTGATGTTTGTCGCCCGGCCTCTGTGTCTATTGGTTTTCAACGTTGTTTTCCTCCCCTGGTCCTTGATGCAGCGGAAAGGACTTGGCAGAGTCCATGACAGTCTCAATAAATGCTTCTGCTGTGTGCTCAAAGAAAGTCTCCATTCCCAAGGCCTTAACCTGTGAGCCACCAGGCAACACTCTGATACCTCAAGAGAGCACAGCTTCGAAATCCTGATCTTCAAGCCCTTCCCCTGGGTCAAAGCAGTTCCGTTCAGGTTCCTCTTAAGGAAGTCTCAGACTGGATCTTAAAAATGTTCCCCCTGGGGCTCGGTGTATGCTTTATTTGATCCTTATCCTGAAACTCATTCTAGACAATGATCCAGCACACTAGTTCTCATCTAGGGGTATCTGTAACCCTGAGGATATGCAGATGTCTTCCAGGAAGCACATCAACTCATCTAGTTTTATAACTGGCTCCATAAAAAGCACTAGAGAGGTCAGTACAAACGAACACATCATACAATGACTTGCTCTGTATAATAAGTACAATATTTGTATTCCAATTGATTTGTAATTATATGGCAACAGTGAGAAAGCCAGCAAGTTTTCAGTAATAATCTACTTTAGTACTTTTGTATTCTTATGTAAGCAAGTTGTTTTTAAGTGAGGTGTAACCTGGGAGTACGCAAGACAAATCAACGTCCTGAAAGGCGTTCTGAAGTCTGGAAAGGTTGAGAGCCACTGAGCTAGAAACTGGCCTTCACACCCAACATTTGGATCCAGATCTGGATTTTTCAACATTTTTGAAATTTGGAGGGGTGTGAGAGACCCAGGGCTTTATCATGGCCTGTCTTTGTTCTTTGCTTATGTAATTGTGTGTCATTTTCATTGCAATACAGATTCCTGTACTATGGTAGTTGGTGATGGCTACACAGTGTGGAATTCTGGAGCAAAACTCCCATTGGCTTCAGTGCGTGGAATTTTACCCACAGATGAGGGAATGGGTCGGTGTGTTTCTGTTTGCATTATAGCTGGAGAAGGAGCCACAGATAGCTTTACATTGCCCGAGTGTTCCCCTTCCAACCTGCTATTTGACACATGAAAGCTTTACAGTCATACTTCTGACTGTAGTGTAGCTACAATGTAAGACCAAGGGCCTGATCCTTGGACATCAAGATCAGGACAGGGTTGTGGGTTTGAGTCCCACCTCCCCTGGGGTTTGGTCTGGTCGGATTGGGATGGGATGGGTGGCCCTGGGGCAGGCTGGATAAAGGTCATCCAGGTCTGCACTCAGATTGAACTAAAGCAAGACCAGGTGGGTTTCCTCTTTTGCTGAGTGTTATTGTTACAGCGATTCCCAGTTCTTGTGGGGCTTGCTGTGGAGCAAAGGCACTCGTGATAAAACACTGAGGCTAATTTATGTGGTGGTTTGGGGCTGGAGTTTATAGATCTATAGATATATATGGATATTACATGCACAATTTTTGCATCAAATATTAATATCTAGAGCATCAATTTATAATGAGATTCAGCATTTTCAGCTTCAATCCCAGGTGTGCATGTGATGACTCTCAAAGAGGAAAACTTTTCTGGTGCATCAGAAGCAAGTCAGGTCGGCAACACTAGGGCTTCATCTTAGAGAGAGAACACTGAATAGCAAGGAGCTGCAACACACGCGCAGAGGAGAACTGAGCTTGGCATGTTAGAAAACAATGCATGTAATCTGTAGTTAGCAGCCTCTGCTGCCCTGATGAGGAGGTTCTATGAACTTCCCTGGCTGGAGGACATGGGCTCTTGCTTCATTGGTCCTTTTCCCCAACAAAACATGGCTGTGTGTACTAGGGATGTAATAGTGGAGTCGATTAAGTGATTAAGCGATAAGTAAAAACTTATAGGTTAATCAAAGAATCAAAGAGCTGGAAGAGACCTCAGGAGTCATCAAGTCCAGCCCCCTGCCCAAGGCAGGACCAATCCCAACTAAATCGACCCAGACAGGGCTTTGTCAAACCTAGACTTAAACACTTCTAGGGATGGAGACTCCACCCCCTCCCTGCATAACCCATTCCAGTGCTTCACCACCCTCCCAGTGAAATAGTCTTTCCTAATATCCAACCTGGACCTCTCCCACCACAACTTGAGACCATTGCTCCTTGTTCTGCCATCTGTCACCACTGAGAACAGCCTCTCTCCATCCTCTTTGGAACCCCCCTTCAGGAAGTTGAAGGCTGGTCTCAAATCCCCCTCACTCTTTGCTTCTTCAGACTAAACAAACCTAAATCCCTCAGTCTCTCCTCATAGGTCATGTGCTCCAGCCCCCTAATCATTTTGGTTGCCCTCCGCTGGACCCTCTCCAATGTGTCCACATCCTTTCTATAGTGGGGGGTGTCACATTACCGAATTGGAGGGAAGCAGCCAGATCGCTGCTGCACCCCTAGGTGGGGTGTTGGCCCCAGAAATCTGTATGAAAGGGAGCCATGTGGGGTATTGAATGGGAGCTTGTTGTTTTCTGATCCTGTGTACACTGTTTATGTGAGTATATAATGTCTGTGTGGCTACGTCTACACTGGCCCCTTTTCCGGAAGGGGCATGTAAATTTCACCAGTCGTCGTAGGGAAATCCGCGGGGGATTTAAATATCCCCCGCGGCATTTAAATAAAAATGTCCGCCGCTTTTTTCCGGCTTTTAAAAAAGCCGGAAAAGAGCATCTACACTGGCCCCGATCCTCCGGAAAAAGTGCCCTTAATCATGAACTTTAAAGCAGAGAAAGGGACTAGCAATAAGGCCCTTGCCAAGGAGCTAACTTCTTCAAAGAATAGCAAAATCACCATTGCCCTGAAACTCAGAGCATTTAATACATTACAGACAGGAGTGACGGATGTGCTAGCTTCTTCTGACTCTTGCTGACGGGGCACCAACTGTTCCTGCTGTGCCATGCTGAAAGCAATGTCAACTTCTTAAGCATCTTTCTTATCTGAGACTCTTCCCTTCTGTTTTATGGAAAAAGATCAACTTCCAGGCCAAAATGAGGCTGTATAGCGAGGTTCCTCCTGGCACCTCCACGTAAGTTTGTGATACAAGTTCCCAGCTACGAGAGGAATGATCAACACTGCCTTACAAGACCATATCCCCTATAACTGGGCCATGTAATTTGATCAGCTACTCAGATGTATTTTGCAGACTCAAATTCAAGATTTCTTTCCCATTTCTAAAACATGGCTACTCTGAAATACATCACCATCTCACAGTTCATGATACTTCATCACAGTACCTTGCTACATTTCACAAGTCTTTGGGACACTCTGTGTCTGCTTCTAACACTAACAGACATGGGTCTTCAGAAACTGTTCCTTCCTTACTCCCCCAAAGTAGAAACCAGGAAGAGCCAAGGCCCTTACTCCCAGAGCCTTGCAAAACTATTTGCTTAATATCTGCAGGTGTCCACACCCACAAATGTGGATGTGGATATCCGTGTCTCATTTTTGTGGATACATATTCTTTTGTCTACAAAGACCTAAGAAGGAGGATCATCACAGTGGCTGCAAAAAGCAACAGCAAGTGTATTCTGCATTCACACAAAGGGACTCAGCATAGCACCATTAAATGCAGGATTGTACCTAAGTAGATCATAGAGCTCCCTATTTCTTTTCTTGCTGCTTTGTATGATCTTCAGCTTAACTTATCTTTATATTTCACAGAGCCAGATATACTGCCCATTGAAAAGTTTGTAGAGCCTCTAAAGTCTTTTCTGTGTAACTTGAGAGTAAAAGAAAATAGGGAAACTCAACTAGGGTATGTCTATACTACAGCGCTAATTCGAACTAACTTAGTTCGAATTAGTTAATTCGAACTAAGCTAATTCGAACTAACGCATCTAGAACTAAAAACTAGTTCGAATTAGCATTTTGCTAATTCGAACTAGCAAGTCCACATTGAGTGGACTCTGAACAGGGCTTAAGGATGGC